ACACGCAACTTATACAGTATCTTATATAGTAAGTAATTAATAAACTTCTGTTCATAATAGTCGTCGATTTTTCGACCTAGTCGACTCCCAAAATCAGTTTTCGTTTATGTCGACCCCTGAGAAATCGATTTCGACCCCAAGGGGTAAGAGGGATATCGACCACTTTGGGAAAAGTAGGTAAAAGCGACCGTTTAAAGGTGTGATATTAAACTTTAAATTATTTTTCTTGTTTAACTAATTATTTTCTGTGTAGTACACTCGGTAGCAATGACTTTGGGTTGGGTTTGAAAGGGTATCGGCAAAAATTAACTGTATGTACCCAGTACGCAACGCAAGCTTTGCTGGTGTCTATGTAACGAAGGACACACGAATTTAAGTGCAAGAAGTGAGACGCCAGATAGCAAATATTTTTGACAGGAATATTGGTCTAGTGGTTAGTGACCTTGACTGCTATGCCAGAGGTCAAGGGTTCGATACACACCAAGGACAAATATTGTGTCATGAGTACGGTCATTTGTTCTGTCTGGGTGTTATTTATCTATAATATGTATGTATTTAAAATACATTTAAGTATGTTTATCAGCAGTCTGGTTACCATAGTACAGGCTCTGCCTAGTATGGGATCAGACAGCCGTGTGTGAGATGTGTGAAATATGTATATTATAGTGAGCTTAGGACGAGCTCGGGCGATGCGTGGGAGAATAAACAACTCCCCCATTCAAGCTTTTAGAACTGAAAATAGCTCTTTACGAGAGCCATTTTCAGATAAAGAGAGAATGGTAAAATATATTAAATAAATAAGAAACTTGGTGGCAGTACGTGAAAGTAACAAAATGTTTTAAAATATGTGAAAATAATGAAGTTTTATCAAAATAATGTTTTTATTTTTGTTTTAAGATGTGATTTTTATAAAAATATTTTTAGAATAGTACAAAATGATTAATACATTTTATTACTTTCATTTAAGGATTTAATTGCGTATTAAACATAACCTATTTTACTAAGTTTTTATTATTGTTAGAGTTCGAAATTTTCAGGGTTTTTTTATGGTATAAAGGGGCAAACGAGCAGAGGGTTCACCTGATGGTAAGTAACTAAAGTAAGCAAAGCCCTTGGAATCCCTCCCGCTGACTCGAGCGAGATTTGGGCTCCATTAACCTCACTCACTGAGTGAAAGGCAACGAAAGAATTGCTTAACACCGGTTTTCTGTGAAGCCGTGGTATCACTCCGGTCGAGCCGGACCATTCGTGCCGAAGCATGGCTCTCCCACGGCTAATCACGGATTCCTAAGTAACCCGGATTTATTGCTCTCGAGTCTAATTTCCAGCATTTACATCATTGTATGTCTAACGTAGTTTTAAGTAGAAAATCTATGTGGTCTCCTTATCATTAAAATTCAAACATACGAGTGTGTAGTTTGTTCAGCAAATGTTTAAATAAGTTATAAGGGAGTTAATGTTGATCTAAGACACTTGGTTTGTATTCAAAACTAGGGCAAATGGATCTTAATTCATTTTAAAATTAATTAAGCACACCAAGGGGAATTTGTTTAGACAGTCCAAGAATTCCAAGAGAAAAGGTTTTGAGTGAAAATTTAATGAATTTCACCATAATCGCATTGTCTTTTATTTGAAGTCTTTCACAAATATTCTCGTAAAATCCTGTTTCGAGGATTGAAAAACGTGACAACGACCTGTCTAGCTGATTCGCATTTTAGCTGGTCGTTTGATCAAGGCGTTGCTGGATCACTCATTGTGACAGTATTCATTTGTGACTAGTGTACAGGATTATACATCTCATAGTTGGTATGACTCGCGTAAGACGACTAACAATTATAAATTATAATATTCGGGTCGGGAATTCTTTTTATATTATTATTTTAAAAGACAACTCTTGCACTAGGAATATATCTTGTATCGCATGGGACTTTATAAATATACATTGAAACGGACACAAAGAACACGCTGACTCAGAACAACAACTTGTGCATCACACAAAGTGTTGTCCGATGCGGGAATTAAACCCACACACTCATCGCAGGTGGAAGCGGCTTGGTGAACACTTAAACTACTACGCCATTCGTGCAGTCTATTTAATTCTGAGTCCAGTGTTTATGAGTACAATTGCTGAAGGTTTTGGCATAATCCCTTTTTGGCCGAGTGGTGACGGATTAAAAGCACAAAGAGTCGCCATCCCCCGGCTTAACACCGGTTTTCCGTGAGGCTGGCTCGACCGGAGTGCAACCACATCACTCCGGACGAGACGGTCCATTTGTTTCGAAGAATGGCTCTCTTTCACCTCTTTATTCGTACAAAAACAATTACTAGACTTAAAACAAAGCAATAACCTATTCAATTTACACAACGCCATTTAGGACACACAACGCCATCTAGTTTCAAACTATGAAAATTTCATATTTTCGTGCTATGAAAGCTAGATTGACTGTTAGAATACTTACTTTTTTTGTAAATACATACATACAAACACTATCTATACACATACACTACTAATGTTAGTAATTTTTATTAAGTTGTAAGAACCTGCATTAACAAACACAAGTGCGGTTATCCCAGAGTGGTAGGAGGGTGTTTGGGCCACCGGGATAGCCTCACTCACTCGTTGATTAGCAACGAAAGAATTGCTTTTCAACTTTTGCGAGGCCATGGTACCGGTTACATCGAGCCGGCCAAAATATGCAAACGCACACTTCTCCCACGGCTAAAACTCGTAAAGCCTCTAAATACTCGTATTAGTGTTATGAATATCATATTTTGTCCATCAAACCGCTACCGCCCATGAATGTAGGGCGCTAACAGAATCACGTGATCCTTTAAAGGCACGTGTAACGTGATCCACTTTACACGTGCCTTAGCCCTTGGGCTTTATTATTTCAGTTTTAATTGACTTTTGACGCCCTTGGTTATGTCAGTTTTGTCAAGCGCTCATTATCAGATGTAATACGTAACTTTTTTAAGTCTTGTAATCCAATCTTTCATTTTCCACCCCGTAGAAAATCCCTTTGGATCATAGGCTTCTTGGGGATACAGGAGCCGAAAAAAATTGTTATTATATTGTAAAATATCTTAAAAAACACCCCACGTTTTTTACATCATCCTCATCATCAGCCTATCGCAGTCCACTGCTGGACATGGGCATCTCCTATTGCTCGCCACTTCGATCGGTATTCGGCTTCTCGCATCCAGCTGATGCCAGCCGTCTTACGCAAATCGTCAATCCACCTAACCTGTGGGCGTTCTGCACTACGTTTGACGAGATGCTGTCTCCACTCAAGAACTCGTTTACCCAAACGTTTTTACGATATATTTTTTTAATTACCCATTTTTAACTTTTTTAGTCTACAGTTATGATTTCTTCCCTCATTAAATACTATGAAAGTTACAAGTAATTATGTCACATAATTATATTTTGGTACATGCCTTAATACGTTTCACAAGGCACTACGTCGCCTACGTCGCCTAGTCATTAAGGCGTAATTCCTGAAGATCCTCATCAGACAAACTTATTAAATATTGTTTTGTCATCTGTCCTTGACAAGTGTAAAAAATCTCGAATTAATCTGACCTTTAGATAATTGAGCTCAAAGATTCCGTTATATGCATACAGGTGAAGCTTATAAAAGCGTGTTAAAAACTATTTCATAAACTCACTGTAAATAGACGGTATCAGTGTAATCCGCTTATAAAAGATGACCTGAATTCTGACGCAGCTGTACCAGTTTTTATAACAATAGACTCAACGACTGGACGTCGGTTTTAAATCGTTCTTTGTGTGGAACGGTATTAAATGGGTTTTTACATCCACGCGTCTATTGACAAAGAGATGTGCAGAGGTGTTTTTGACACCTACATTTTGCCAACAAATTTTACCCTGACTCACGATTGATTATGAAATCAATCGCGAGTCAAGCCTGTTACCGTTACCCAGTTTGTACCTTGACCCGTGTGTTTTGAGAATTATTGGTCTGATATTTTGGAGTATTTTGGGCAATGGATTTTGGGAAAGGGAAACGCGTGTAAGAAGAATAGGTAACGGAATATTGTTGTTTTTGCTGCTGTACTTTTAAATCATATTGCATCGACATTCTTGGTGTGTGGTACGCATATGGATCTTCTTAAATAGAAATGATCAAATTTATCCTTACATCACTCTGCAATTGTGAAATGTAGACATTCTCTCAATTCCCTTAATATCACCCACTCAACCAAACTCCACATTCAATGAACGACTGATTTATAAAATTAATGTTCAATACTCGCTCAATGGAGAAATCTGATCGACGTCTGCCATTGTTAGCGCCGATGGATACTGATGTCATTTTGTTGAGGAGAAGTGTCGATGAAAAGACTATATATAGATTGTAACAACATCACAAATTTAAAAGTATCCGGTTTTACTTAACTTAATCTGTCGTTTTTTGTTACAAATTTAGACGTAGATCCGACGTTAGGTAAGTAAATTTAAAGTAGCGTTGTATTTTTGTTATGAAAATACTGTGCTTTTCTTGGTATAGGGGGCGAACGAGCAGACGGGGTGCCTGATAGTAAGCGACTACCGCAGCCTATGAACACGTGCATCTCAGGAGTCACAAGCGTGTTGCCGTCCTATATATCACCCCGCCCTCGATCGAGAGGGGTTTGGACCTCCGATAAGCTCACTGACTCGATAACATGAAACAGAATAAAATAGTGGCACTCCGACAGTACAGAGGTGTCAGTAGCGGTAACGGTAATAGTGTCGCAAATACAATGGTTTTTTCCAACTCAAAAAACCTAACGCCCCTAAAGAAGTTTTCACTTCAACAGAGGTGTCGGTAACGGTAACAATGTCGCAAGTTCAATGTTTTTTTTTCATAAAATACATTACTTTGTTTGTTCTTCAGAAATGCCCAACGCGCCTATAGAAGTTATTGCTTCAAAAATTGTAATTGAATTTATCGCCATGTCAGCCATATACGCCTAAAAGATCTTTACTTCAACAGGTACGGCAGCCCCCACCACTCCAGGTCTCAATCAGTCAAAGCGGGTCGCTCCCGTACCGGTGAAAGGCAGCTACTAGGGCTACCACAACAGCGCGCCAGGGTGGCGTCCATGCCCAACACTGGCGTCGAGGAGGAGTACTACCGGCTCAGACACTTCAGTATTACTGGTAAGTTCCTTCAAAATATAAGGGAGATAGTAATTTACACCATTATGAGGTACACCATAACACCATTAAAAGTTCCTAAAGAGGCAAAACAAATGTCGAATTGTCACTTTGCGCCAGCGGACGATTGAGTATTACCTACGCAGGTGGTAATATATTTAATTTAAGCTAGCCAGTATAACGTCAGTAGTGTAATATCGGAACAGTCGCACAAGACGAAGTAGACACGCCAGTTAGTATCCATACTAATATAGTAAATGCCAAAGTGTGTTAGTCTGTCTGTCTGCCTGTTTGTTACCTATTCACGCTTAAACCGCTGAACCGATTTAGATGAAGTTTGGTATAGCGATAGCCCAAGTACCGGGAAAGGACATAGGGTAGCTTTTATAAATTTTAAATTAAATTAAATTAGTGATTACTAGTGTCTGATTGACAGGTTTATTTAGTGTTGCCATTGATTAAATTAAAGTATTTCTATTACTAAGTGTTATTCGTTATTTTGGATTAATTACTGATTTCGATTAACGGATAATGTAATAATAAAAATACTATACGAATTTCACGTTAGTGCAATAAAATTAGATTTTGAAATAGAACGCAAGTGTTGCTTGAACATTTTACCTTATTTCGCTTCATATTTACGTCATATGGCGATTAAAATACCTTCAAAGTTTTAATCGCCATATGACGTATCCATATGGCCGTGACCTTATGAATTCTCAAATAGCTGGCATTGTTTAAAATATTTTTTTTTATGAACTTTTCTCAAAATCTGCCACGGACTTTATGAAGCTATTCAAAATTCATCATTTATTTTATTTATATCAATTGTAAAAACACGATCTTTGTATACTCTGGGGCACAAGTTGGGCAACTCCTTTCAAGTTTATAACCCCAGCGGCTTAGACTTCACTTAACTTAGACTCTGCGTTGATGAATCAGTGAGTCAGGGTAAGTAAGGGTAATTTTATATGTGATAACATTAAAACACTTTAGTAAAGCTATAAATAAGTAATTTTAGTCAAGTTCAAAGAGGTTTAGTTTCTCTATAATATGCATTACATACCAAATACGTAGGTCACAACAAACAAACAAATAATGCAATGCAAATGTTGACTGCACGGATGGCGTAGTGGTTTAAGCGGTCACCTCGCCGCTTCCTACTACGCCGAGTGTTGTGGGTTCAAACCCCACATGGGACGACACTTAGTGTGATCCACAAATTGTTGTTCTGAGTCTGGGTGTTCTTTGTGTCCGTTTCATGTATGTTTGTAAAGTCCCCCACGACACAAGAATGTATTCCTAATGCGGGAGCTGTCTTTTATAAAGAAAGAAACATAATAATAATAATATATTCTTGCAATTTATGTTATATTTTTTTCAAAATGCTCTCCATCACTATCCATACAAATTTCCATCCGCCTAAACCAATCTTGGAAACACTTATTCCAGTCTTCCTCCGATAGGCCAAAAATGGCTGATTCGTAGGCATCCACCGTTTCTTAGGCACTTGAAAAAAAACTAGTCTTTTATTTTATCTTTTATGGTTGGGAACAAAAACAAGTCAAGATTTCCAAATAAATTTTGCCTTTTAATAATATATGACACAGATCAGTCCATTTTCAAGTTTTGAGCATCTCAAATCTTATATAGTGACCTATTTAGAGACATAATGCATTTGGATTATCACAGGGTATCATACTGGGTCCATGGTAATGTGCCATGATCTGCCTTTTGCCACAAAATCAAAACAATATCATTTGCAGCTCGTATATCTGTTAAATTAACCAAAAAATAAAAGATGATATTATCACTATAGGAAAAAGATGAAAAGAAAAAGCTTCAAAATTATTAATATTAAATATAAATAATATATCGATGTCTTTACTGCACACAATAAATAACACAGAGTGAGAAATCAGCAATATTATACTGCTAATGCAAGTGGCGGTCTTATCGCATTGTTTCAAGTATTTTTCTCCTCGAGGAAATTCATAAATTAGTGATTTACAACTAACCAAGTTCAAAATTATCCACATTTCGACTTCTCCACTTTCGTAAATACATCTTCCAGTGTCTCCGAGATGTTCTTCTCAATAACACGAACATTGTTTGCAAAATCCATCTACAGGAAAACATGGCTGATCCTATCTCAAGCAAAATGTAAATTTCTATTACTATTCCTGGTCCTGATAACTGTAGATCCACTATCAACTGTTTTATCACAACCAGAATCTTCAACGAGTCGCACATTACAGCAACTCCGATCAAGGACCACACATGCCTCATGTTCCTTCTTGACAGTCTTCTGTTAACACATGGAAGAATAGATATAATAACGCTTACATACAATGCAACTATTAGTATCCAAATCATTAGTTTTGGCAAAAAGTATGCAAGAGGAAGGCAATGAGATCTTTGTAAAGGAAGATCCTCCAGAACTTTAGTCACTGTGTAAAGGAGCATGGCAGTCAAATATGTGAACACGGTGTATATCCTCTTTTCATAACTAAATTTCCTCATGTACTTCAGCACCAGCTTAACATGTGCGTGCAATGACGCGCACAGAGACCAACACATCGTCAATGTATAAAAATATAATTTTAGATAATAAACAGTAGCTACAGTACTGGTAAAAGATTCAGAGTTGAAATATTCTTCATAAATTTTTACTAATAGTAATACTGTATCACAGATCAGTTCTATCGTTCCCGCTACGATTTGGTTGACACACATATAGTTCTGTAGTGTTCGCCATCGTGGCAATAGACACCAACTTATCACCAAAACTACACAACACAGTACCGACAAGCAAGCGTTGACAATAAAAGTACATCTTATGAAAATGTAACAATATTTTCTGAACATTTTGAAAAGTCAAGTTAATTACTCGATTTGTTGTTCACAACTGCGGGAATTCAAATAAATATTTCCATATTAACTAGAACATACATTATACTAGTACTAATTAATGGACGCTTATCTTATCGGAAACTCATGTATTCAGTATTTTCGCAAAAAATACATCTAACGATATTATTTTTTATGTGCCATGGGTTCTTCGTTGGATGCGGGCAGCATCGGTCGGTTGTTATGGCGAAATTTGGGGGACGCCTATGCCCAGCAGTGGACGTCTTTTGACTGAGATGATGGTGATGATGATACCATCGTGAAGTCCTGAATGTAGATCATCCTACACTGTTACTACGAACATACATTTAATTATAATAATAATGTTTTCACACATCTCACACACGGCCGCCTGATTCCAAACTAGACAGAGCCTGTTCTATGGTAACGAGACTGGTGATAAACATACTTATATATTGCTAAATACATACATATAGATATAGTACACACAAACAGAACTAATGACCGTGATCATCACACAATATTTGTCCTGGGTGGGAATCGAACCCACGACCTCTGACGAAGCAGTCAAGGTCACTAACCACTAGACCAACAGGCAAGTCAAAAAATACTTGCTATCTGGCGTCTCACTTCTTGCACTTAAATTCAAGTTTCCTTTGTTTCATAGCCACCAGCAACGCTTGCAGTCGACGACAATTACTGTAAAAATAACTGTGGTGCAGTGTTGCAATAGAGCTGTCCCTTTTCTTTAACAGTTTAACTCATTGAATTTATGAATATTAAAAATTTAAATACTTTGAAAAAAATATTATTTTTAGGTCTATTTGTTTTCTTTGCCATAAACATGTATTTGTTGGCAGGCAATTTTTAGTACATGGCAATATTTTACTGTATTTGAATGTTTCGTGACTTGTTTTATAATTGAAATTTTAATTTTGAATAAAGTAATAGCACAATATGATTTTATCAGATTCACCACTAAAAATAATTTATTCATCGCAAGCAAAAACAACATGGAGTAAATACAAGAAATAAATTGTAAACTCTTCAAACAATAGCTAGCAAAAGAACCGATAATTCATAATTTTCTTGACAGTGTTAGTAAAATATTAATAAACTTTATGCATAAACATTATTAGTAATGAGTTCAGAGCTTTTATTTATTTAAGAAATCAAGATGACTTACATTTAATTGTGAAAAAAAAAGATTTGAAAGAGTTTTTCAACAATAAAATCATATTCAATGATATTTAGGGGTATACCTATATTATTATTTCTTCTAGTTTTATTCACAACTAATATACAGAGGGTTGAAAACTTCCTGAGTAACTTCCAGTAATGAGTGGCACGGCTATCGTTCGTTTTAATTCCAAATGACAGGATCACTCCCTTACCCGTAAATTTCCAATATACACACAGTTACGCCTATAAAACTTTGAAAATAGGAAAATTAGGAGTTAATTAGCAAATGAAAGGATTTAGCAGATACCCATAGCTCGAACTGCCTATTGCCGGGAATCCAAAGCCCACCAACTTTAATTGGAAAATAAAGAAAAGCAGAAATTGTGTTATGTATTCCATCAATAATTGACTTTTAACAGATGTATCCTGAATCAATTCGTGAACACTCGATGTAAATCAATTATTTACAACTAACCAAGTTCAAAATTATTCACATTTCGTCTTCTCCACTTTCGTAAATACATCTTCCAGTGCCTCCGAGATGTTCTTCTCAATAGCACGAACATTGTTTGCAAAATCCATCTACAGGAAAACATGGCAAATCCCATGTCAAGAAAAATGTAAATATCTATCACTAATCCTGGTCCTGAGAACTGTAGATCCACTATTAACTGTTTTATCACAACCAGAATCTTCAACGAGTCGCACATTACAGCAACTCCGATCAAAGACCACACATGCTTCATGTTCCTTCTTGATAGTCTTCTGTTACCACATGGAAGGATAGATATAATAACGCTTACATAAAATGCAAATATTAGTGTCCAAATCATTAGTTTTGGCAAAAAGTATGCAAAAGGAAGGCAATGGGAATTTTTTAAATCAAGATTCTCCAGGACATCAGTCACTATGTAAAGCAGGATCACAGTCAAATGTGTGAACACGGTGTA